ATATATATATATATATATATTAATGCTCATATACATAATATAATATATTAAAAAAATAAATTTATGATAAAATAAAATTATATTTACCTTTTGTGCTTTTTATTTATTATATATGTTGATTAAAAAAATTAAAATAGTAAAGACTATAAGATTGTATATATTGATTAAAAAAAATTAAAACAAGAAAGATTTGATGATTTATGTTTTATTTAAAAATTTTATTATAAAATATTTTTTAAAATAAATTATCATCTAAAAATTTATATTAGATATTAAAAATATATTTCTATCATAAATAAATTAAATTTGATTTTTATACAATTTAACTTATTTTAATTTTTATATTTTTATTAGTGTTAAATTATTATAAATAAGTCTTGAGGATTGTAATTTTAACCAAATATTTAAAAAAATACCTATGATAAATAAATAAATCATATTTAGAATATTTATATTTTTAAAAAATTATATTTAAACTTATTAAATTATAATATAACCTAGTATGACCTAATTTATTTTTATCATTAATTATAATCATAAATATAATAAAAATAATTATGATATTTATATATTTAAAAATTATATATAAAATTTTAATATTACAAATATATAAATAAATATTCTTCTTATTATCTAAATTTTTTAGATCCATCACTCTCTCGATATATATAATATATCATCTCAAAGTTCAACATGGATCATCTTATGAAATTTATTTTGCACCGTATCTTGTTCCTATTAGTTGAATTCAATTTTATAAAATTAATTGTAAAATATGTATTTTTGGTGGTAATTATAAACAAAACCTAAATTTATATGAAGTCAAAACTAATAGTAAATATTTTTAAAAATTTCTAGTAGAATTAAGAATTGTTTATTTTATCTTTAACACAAATCTGCATGTAAAAATATAAAATATAAAATAAATTGAATTAATCTCTTAGGATTAACTAATATGAATGAAAGCACTTAATATTTATAAGTCTGTAACACTTTCATTTAGTCTTGAGGGATGTGCATGAGAAAGTTGTGAAAATTAATTTATTTCAATCATCGATTACATATATATATTTTTTATTATAATAAAGATAAATTTTTATTTGAGTAAATTTGCTAAAATAATGATTTTGAAAATTTTAATTCCATTTAAATATAACAAAAAAAAACCAAATTTTATGTAATAAATCATTTTTTTTAAATTCGTTAAAAAAATAATCATAGATTTCAAAATTTCAACTTCATGAAAAGAACTTTTTTTTTCAAAAAAGATTGATTATAAATTTCAAACAATCAATTTTTTTGAACAACTTTTCTTTTAAAACAGGAGTTATAAGGTGGTCTAAATGATTTGGATGAAAAGACATAGAAAATTTGAATTTCTCCACTAAAATAATAAGTAACAATTAAAATTTATCCATAAAAAAATCTTATTTAAACAGCTATCCCCAACTTCAGTGTGTTATGAAAGGAAACATACAAAATTTTATTCAGTTATTTCCAAGAGTATAAACTCCTTACTTGTGACTTTCTTTATCGTGTTCACCTAAAATTCACATGATGTCAGGAACAAGGTTTTCCGTGGTGCATGGTGAGCCTCAACTGGTGGTGCCAGCAGGACCAACTCCGCGAGAATTAAAAAGCCTCTCGGACATAGACGACCAAGAAGGGCTACGTGCGGTTTCTGCTTCCGGTGATAATGTTCTACAAAAAGAGTGCAGTTATGGAAGGAAAACACCCTGCAACAGTTATAAGACATGGTTTGGGTGAAGCACTTGTGCACTACTACCCACTTGCAGGTAGGTTGAGAGAAGGGCATAACAGAAAGCTAATGGTGGATTGCAGTGGTGAGGGCATCTTGTTTATTGAAGCTGAGGCTCATGTTTCTCTCCACCAGCTTGGGGGTTCCATTCTCAAAGACCTTCTTCTTCACGTTCCTGGATCACAACAAATCATTCCATGCCCTCTGCTGCTGCTTCAGGTAAAGCACCACGTCTCAGACCTTCAAAAATTGATAAACTGAATATTGGGAGCTTGAAAAATTAATAAACAAAGTGAGAGATATTTTACATCTATGACATGATTTAAGAAAACAGACTTGTTTTAGACAACATAAAATTTCTTTGTAAAAGTACATGTTTTAAAGCCATCATTGTATATATTTAATCATTTTATATTAATTAAAAAATACTTATAAGTACTTAATGTACACTGACCACAAATACACTGATTGAGTTTGTCTTGATTTGATGATTGAGTAGGTAACCCATCTAAGATGTGGAGGATTCGTTTTCGCCGCACGCATGAACCGAAATTTTTACTTAAATAATATTTTTTTTTTTTAAAATTATAAAAGTATCAACTGTGCAGGTTTATTTACTGTGTATGTATTGTGGAATTGAGATGTGGACGTGGATGTGGATGTGGATGTAGATGTGAACGTGGATGTGAATGAGAATGTGATTGTGGTTCCTCACACTTGTGACCAGGGGTGGCACGACCTTAGGCAAGAAATGCTACAAGCGTGACAAAAGTCGTCACTATTAGTGACGACATTTTATCCGTCACAAATTTTCGTCACAAATTTTAATTTTTTTAGTAGTCCATTTTTTCCTAGGAATGTTGTCTAACCATTGGGCTGCTTCAACATTATTATCTCTTACTATGTTGTAATAATATAAGAATCTAGGTTCAGTCATCCCATAGGTTAAAAAAAAATTAAATAATGAAAACCAATTATTAAATGTTTTAAAAAAAATAATGATAAAATTACCCATGTTGACGACATCGTTCTTCAGTGCTGCATTTTTGAATCGTCGCATGAAGTTTTGTGCAATGTGTTGAATACAATAGACATGGACAAAATTATTTTCTGTCCAACCACTTCCATTTCTTGAGTATACATTTCGAATAGCCTCATAAAGATCAGAAATTAGGCACAATCCGTCTTGCGGTGTTACATACCGCCTTAAGTTCTTAAGAAAAAAAATCATGCATTGCTAGTTTCACCTTCAACAACAGCAAATGCAATAGGAATTATGTTGTTGCGACCATCTTGTGCAACTACGACCAATAACGTACCTTTGTATTTGCCGTATAAAAAGGTTCCATGAACTTGAACAATTGGTTTGCAGAAGGCAAAACCATCAATGCATGGTTTAAAGGTCCAAAATAACCTTTTGAATATAACATTCCCCTCTTCCAATAAGTCACCTTGGCAAGCCGGTTGCGTATTAAATTTCCAAATAAAGCCTGGAACATACATTTGCATTGCTTGCAACATACCTGGTACGACTCCTCCTAGTTTCCAAAGATGTTTTCAATGGCATGTTGTTTGGCTAGCCATCCCTTTTTGTAACTAATTGTATAACCCATGGTCAACTTGATGTGGGCTATGATGGTTGAAATGGGTGTAGATGGATTAGCCTTAATAATTTCACGAATAGTTTGAGAAATCATTTGTGATCCTAATTTATTATGATCTTGGGAGATGAGTGAAGAAACACGTGTGTGAAGGCCTTTAAGGATCATGATTTCCCAATGTTGTTCTCTAGTGCGCAATATAGCACGACATCTCCAGGCATAATCATGGTGAATGTGACACCCTTACTACCCCAACACATACATTGTAATAATGTAATTAAATTAAGAAAAATCAACTTTCAAAGTTGATAAAAGGGTTCACATAAAAACCTTTAGAAACATTCTTCGATATCCAAAATAATTTGAAAATGAAACTTGGAAAATAAAACGTAAGAGGTTATAAAATGTTTTCAAAATAATAAGTACGGCTCCATTTACAAATAAATTCTATGTCCTAGAAGTCCTCTGCCCCGATGTCACAATATCAGAGCATACCCATAACTCAACTGTTGGCATTCTAGATGCCACTCATAGCCGAATCTTCCTCACCTAAAACATCCCCAAATTATACGGTGAGAAAAGAAAACATCTATATGAAAAGCACACAAGAAAAATCCACAATATTGTCTCATCATAACTCATTACTTATTAAAGTATTTACAAGCATTTCTATTCATCCTAATTCTATCCATGAACAGTAAACAGTTCTACATTGGTAAATAAACCTGCATAGTTGATATTTTTATAATTTTTTTTAAAAAAATATTATTTAAGTAAAAATTTCCGCATGAACCACACAATATGCGATTCACTCGGGCTTGTCCAATTTCTCACCATGGTCGGTGACATTGCAAGAGCTGCTCCTATTTCAAAGTTCCCTGTGTGGCAAAGAGAACTATTCAGTGCAAGGGACCCACCAAGAATCACTTTCCCACACCACGAATACGAGGATGAATCCCAACATTGCAACAAAGAAACATGGGACAGCCACGAAATGGCCCACGAGTCATTTTTGTTTGGGCCCAAAGAGATTGCATTCCTTCGGAATAATCACCTTCCTCACCACCTAAGGAAATGCTCCACTTTTGAGATACTCTCTGCTTGTTTGTGGAAATGTCGCACCATAGCACTTGGGATGAACCCAAATGAGACAGTGGGCTTGTCACCATTTATCACAGCTCGTGGGCAGATGATAAACACACCTTCACTCTCGTATAAACACATCCCCTTTTTAAAAAAAATATATATAAAATATCTAAATTACCCTTAAAAAAAATGAAATTCTTAAATTTACACTCCCTTCCCCGTACCCCCTTCCCGGCACCCCCCTTCCCCGCACCCTGCATTCTTGGCTTATAACTCCAGATGCTCCAATTGCATGGTTAATCATAGTTATTACAGTCTTTAAGAACAAAACCAAAAATGTGATTGTAGAAACAAGTCAGGCAGAAGCATTTGTTTAACCTTTTTTCATATGGCAATTATAAACAATGCACTAATTGTTAAAAAAAATTATTATCATGAACTGACAGAGACAGTGTCTCATGGGAAAAATGCTGCATATAATATAACCATGTTAAATTGAAAACTATATAAATATTAATCTATATCTACAAGAATTCATTCATACCGTTGGACCTGCCAACAAAGAAGTCCCTGAGTCTGCAATGGCTGAACAACCATCAGCATAATATCCTGATAGACAATTAGATCAGGTCAGACCAAATAAATTGAAACTATAACGCATTAATGAAAATGCCAACAATACATCATGGGAAGAACAACTTGTCACTTCTGCTAACACATTTTCTACACATACCAGTGGGTTTACCGGCAATAAGTACATCTCCCATATCAAACTGAAAACAAAAATGAAAATTAACAAAGAGAAAAATGTAAATAAAAAAAATATTAAGAATTAAAAAAAAAGTATAACCTGCCAATATCCTTTTCTGGTCACAGGCACGTAAGTGTGCTTTCCCTTATAGTGAGCAGGATCAACACCACCAAAAACAATCTCACCCCCTTCCTCTTCCTCTGGGTTGCGGTTGAACCAGAATGAAAATATCGGTTCCTTAATGATACCTTATTGCGGGGGTGCGGGGAAGGGGGGTGTGGGGTGCGGGGAAGGGGGTGCGGGGAAAGGGAGTGCCGGAAAAGGGGTGTAAATTTAAGAATTTTTTTTAAGGGTAATTTAGATATTTTATATATTATTTTTAAAAAGAGGGTGTGTTTATACGAGAGTGGAGGTGTGTTTATCATCTGCCCAGCTCGTGGTAAAGTGGGCCTGCAAGTGCCCAATGGGTACTACGGCAATGCCTTTGCCTTCCCGATGGCGATTTCCGAGGCAGGGCTTTTGTGTCAAAACCCGTTGGGGTATGCATTGGGCTTGATTAAAAAGGCCAAGGCCCAAATGAGTGCTGAGTACGCGAGTTCGATAGCGGATCTTATGGTTCTCAAGGGCCGGCCCATGTATAAAACAAGAGGAAACTACCTTATTGGGGACACTACTCATGTGGGGTTCTCTGATGTGGATTTTGGGTGGGGGAGTCCCATCTATGGAGGGCCTGCAGGGGCTATACCCTTTGTTAGCTTCTTTGGACGGTTTACAAACAGTGAAGGAGAAGATGGAATTGTGGTGCCAATTTTGTTGCCACACCATGTTATGAAGAGATTTCTCTATGAGTTGGTGAAGATTATAACTAAGGACCCAGTGGAAAAGTCTTGTAACAAATTGGCAAAAAGGTCCATGCTGTAACAATCTTGTTATGATAAAATGGTTCTCTTTCTCTACCAAAGATTGGTAGTTCAAAAAATAAGATTTAGTTTCAAACTTAGACATAAAATTGTGAGTAGAAGTACTACTTTATCTTTATAACTAACAGCTTAGTGGGAGGAAGTATACCTCCTAATAAAAAAATTGATTCTCTCTTTTTAACTTTTTATTTAGATAATTATATTCGTATGGTGGTTGACTAGGCCGAATACCTGAGTTTGTGGCTGACTAGGCCAAATACCCAAGTTCGTGGTCGACTAGGTCGAATACCCGAGTCCGTGGACGACCAGGTCGAATACCCGAGCCCACCGACCACTCACAATCTGAACGGAACGTGTCGGTGTGCTCGGCCAAGTCACGAATTTACGCCATAATAATTATAGAGAGGTTAATTTATGTAATGCACTGGATTAGCCCCCTAATTTCCCGAGGCCCAGTCCTTAATTGCGGCCCAATAAGAATCACTATAAATAGGACTCCAGCGAGGTATGTAACTAACTTTTCAACTACCGCATTTAATACGCCGAACACTTACTTGAGCGTTGGAGTGTCTTTGCAGGCACCCCCCCTCATTTCGGACTACTCGGAGAAGGACGAGAAGACCTAGACCCCGGACCCGACCCGCTACAACAAGGATAATTGGAGTGTGTATCCTAACACAGGAACAATTGATATTAAGTATCAATCAACTTTGTTCATAATTAATTAGAAAATCTCACTGATAATTTTTAATGAGATCCTTTCTCAATCATGTTTTTTTATCAATAAAATTCAAATATAAAATATTACTTAATAGAATTAAGTTGAATTTCACTCAAACGAACAACTTATAAGTTAAATTATCTAAATGACTTGGTGGTTAAATTACCTAAACTCTATATATTTATCCTTTGCTAATAATCATGCTGATTTAGAGCATGTAATTTGATGCGATATCACGACATAATTTTTCATGTCTTAAGTAAAATTACAAAAAAGGAGACTCTATGTCAATAACGTGATTTTATTATTAAACATGAATCACCAATGCACAATTAGATATACTTAGATCAGCTTAGTACATTATAATTTAATATATTATAATCAATTTGTTGTGGGACCATGAAATTTTAGTCTATAATGAACTATTAATTTGTGTTAAAAATATGTTAGTCTAACATAATGTTACGAGTAAAAGGATTAAAATTTTTTCCTTTTGGTGCATTTATAACCCACATGATTAATCAATTTTTTGGTGTTAGGTTGCTTTCTAAACCACATATTTCAAAACATTGTTTTAATGCTTTTGGTTCACAATTTCCCATTGCGAGTAACTTGAATATTTTGATGGAACTATGGAAGCTCCTAACCACATGTTGTTTGACACTAAAAATTATAATCTCTGTGCCATATTTGTGAAGGAAAACTGGAACCAGCGGCTCAATATACAGTTACTCTTCTGATTACTTGGTTGCGTGGTGGACCCGTATTTATTATTCCATAAGGATCGTATTTTTTTTTATAATGATTTACAATTTCTCTTTTACTCCAAAATGTTTGATATTTTACACACTAATATTAATTAACATGCTTTTCAAATATATCATTATTCAACAATTCTTATTCATATTTTATAATTATTTTTTTTGCATATGTTAAATGAGAATATTTTGGACTTAGCATACTAGTTTAAATATTTCTTAAAAAAAAAACCTTAAAATAGAAAAACTTAAAATATGTTATGTATTTGATTTATTTTATTATATGTAATTTGAGATTTTTGGTGCAATAAATTTGTTAAAAGAGTTATTGTTGTTGTTATTGTTATTATTATTTATTCTTTATTATTATTATTATTATTATTATTATTATTATTATAGTTATAGTTTTAGTAAATTTGAGATTTGTTGTATAGCAAATTAAACCAAATCTATTATAATTTGATATTTATTTTATTATTTAAGTATACTAATTTATGTAAGTCCTTTAGATAAGAGGTATCCAAAATAAATATCCAAAATTTTCTTCCTCATAATATTCTGATTCAATTTGAGTAATACTACCTGCGATCATGAAAAATTAAATATCTATATTTTTACGAAAAAATATTGAATATATAAAAGATAACAAATAATCCAATGAAAATATTAATTAAAAAAATACAAAATATTATTCACTTTAGATTATTATAAAATAAAGAATTAACAATTTTGAAATAGATAATTTAATGAAAGTTTAAATATGTTTTTAATCTCTTGAATAAGAGGTAAATTTATTTTTATTCTCTCAAATTTAAAATTAATTTTTTAATCCATGTAATTTGAAAAAAAAATATTTTTAACCTCTCAACTCTAATATTATTAGTGAATTTGTCAAATATTATTGCATATGATCTATTTACTAGTATTCTTGATAGTAAAAATAACATATTAAATTTAATTAATACTACATAATTTTTTAAATTTGTCATTATCAATTAAACTAGTAGTGGTCAAATGGACTAAAATAATATTTTTGAAATTTTAAAACTTAAAAAATTATTTTTAAATTTGAGGTATAAATTTTTTTCCCTAAATTTAAGAGATTAAAAACATATTTAAATATTCAATAAATATATTGACTTGTGGTTTATATTCAACATAAGATTATATTATTTTTTTATTTCTTTCTTGTACATTTTAAATCTTTAAAGAGAATAAGTATCACACTCCTTTCGATCTTACATATATTTATAGGACTTAAATGCTAAGAGCATGAATTCTCCCTAATATTAAGGGGCATTGCATTGTAGATGTAGTCTCTACTTGAAGGTCATATGAGAGAAACTCAAACACCCATTAAACCATGGTGTTTGATGTTATTTCACAAGTTAGATATTACAGCTGATTAATTAACATTAGGGAGGAAAATGTTTTGATTTAATAACGCATGGATAAGAAAAGGTTGTTACTTTAGTTGGGTGGGGGTTGTACTTGTACAATGGGTATTCCTATGTTCCATATTTTATTTTATCCCCTCGCATAGAAACATGACATCAAAATCCAAGAAGAGGCACCATAATCCCCATGTTCTTGTATGGGTGTTAATGTTATCCCCAGCACAAAATGCAGACAAAATGTAGTGGTAGCCTGGGCCTTCTTGGTGGGGTTCCCCATTAATTAATATATATGTGATGTACAGTTAGGCAACTTCTTAAGCTTTTTGTTTGTTTCTTAGCATAGTGATGATAGGAATAGGAGAGGCAAAGGCACCCTACTTTGGTGCCTCTTCCCAATAGGAGACAAATTACATACAGCCACTTCATAATCGATCCCAATATTCTTTATAGTTTGCATGGAATAGAATCAATGTTGCCCTTTCCTACTTTCTACTCGGTGGTCCTTACTAGAAAGACAGCATAACTATATTGAATTTTATTAGTTAATTTTTTTATACACATTTATAAATATAGATTTGATATTAAAAATATGTAAACTTAAAAAAATACCAATGTTTATTATGTTAACAAGATGTACTAAACATTCTGGACAACTTATTTCAAAATAATTACTAAATGAATAGATCAATTAGTGTAAAGTTGTACCTGTTTAGTAAGTAGCTTTGAATTCAAATCTTAAATATTCAGCTGCAGAGAAAAAAAAAAAAATAAGAGACAGCAGCCCTTAGTAGCGGCGGTTTTCATGGCACTGAAAGGGGGCATTAAGTGAAAATGTGTGGTTATGCCTAATGCCTGCATTGCACATAGGTTTTGACAACTATCCCTGCTATAGCATGTGTTAAGTTTGAAATTATCAACTTTTTAATTCTTCAGATTCGTTGCCAGTGTTTTATATAGGGAACAAATAATGACGTTAATTTCATAACGTCTAGTTTTATTTCTCACACGTGAATCTAGCTTGTTAATTTGTTTAATTATATCGCAAGTCAATAACTTGATTATTGAATCCGGCACGTGAACTTCTTAATAAGATGTCCTTAATTGTTTGAACTTCTTAGAATAAGAAGTAATAAATGTTATTTAGTAGCGTATTGTATAGATATTTGATGTAATTTTTTTTTTTTTTTTTTTTTATGTTTCAAAAAGTTATTACCTTCATTTAAATGATTTTGGAAAAATCTTCCTGGGATTAATTTAGTGCTTACTAAAATAGATATTTACCCTTTTTTTTCTTGGTCTTGGTAGTAGATATTTTACTTTGCAATGGTTTTCTTGACTTGGTCTCATTATTTTTTCTTTATAAATAACTATTTTACGCAATATCTCTGAGTTCAATAAATCTAGCTAGTTTTATTGTCTTAAGGTCTATTAAATCGACATGCGTTTCATGCTAATTTTTTTTCATGATTATTTAACTCATGAATATGAAAAACGAGTTGAGATTTATGATCATTCAAGTTAACCTGTAGGTTCTTATTTATTGAAGGATTGTGATTAAGAACAACATAACATATATTAACCGACTGAATCTAACATATTTAAATATGGAGGTTAAAAATACTCAAACGTGAAAATAGTAGTAATATGTTTATTTATTTATTATATCTAAGCAAAAGACAATAATTATATTTTTGGTATACAATAACAAGTGAAGAAAGATGGAGAAGAGCTGGGAAAAAAAAAAAACTAACTCATTTTTCTCTATCATTTAGTATGTATTTTAAAAAGCAAGTTTGGAACAATTCAACACGAGACACATAGTTAAACATGTTAAACATTATACTCATTATTTCTATAATCTTTACTTTTTTATACTTTATTCTTTATAAGAAAGTCATAAAATTATAAATCTATATCTTAGAATTATACACTAAAGGTCTTATAATCTATGACATGCTTAATCGTCAAAGATGAGATAAATATTTGAATTCATAATTGAGAAAGGGTGAAAGGATAATTTTTTTTTATGTGATTCAATATATTGAAGACTATAACCTTCTTACAATATGTTAAACCTAGAAGGGTTATTACTATCTTCTAATAAGTTAATATTGTCATTTATTTATTTAAGTTCATATAACTTAATTTAGTAATTTAATAGACTCACTTAATTTAATAAGTCCTTTCTAATGTTAAATAACACATTTATTTTATAATATTAACCGATAGTAATTAATGAAATATATAATTTTAACATTGTTAAGTAATTAATGAAATGTGAATTATTAATTTTCTCTCTCTTCATTTTCTCTATTTTATTATTATATTTTAATTATTTTGTATACATTTTTTATTCACTTTCTACAAAGTCAAATTTATTTATTTATTTTATTCAACTTACTGCTTTTCATTTCTTTTATTTCTTTCCACTTACTTTTCCAAATCAAATATACCTTTAGTTCTCACTTTTTTTTTTATAATAATATAATGTTCAAATAAATAAATAAAAACCTTCCTCATAGAACAAATTAATATTAATGCAAACAGTTTTTTAGATTTTATAATAAGAAGAATATAATTAGATTGAAAATCAACGCATATAGTAAGAACAAGTTAATTATTTAGGATATTTGTAGATTTCATGGAAGGAAGAATATAATTAGATTTTAATTATATATATATATATATATCATTGTAATGTATCTATGATTATTGTTAGTATAATTGTCAGCACTATTAATTATCTCATTTTAAGTTAATATATCTCTCAAAATTAGCTTTATATTTCAAAAATTATTTAATTTTATATCTAAGATTTGAATTCAAAATCAATAATTAAGTACAACATAAAATATATTTTATCTTCTTTTAATTTTATATTTTTAATTTATTATTTTATTCTCTTATTACTAAATCTCCTAAAATTCAAGTTAAAAAGTAAAATATATTACAATTACAATTAAAATTACGTTTAACAAGCCTGAAAATAAGAGAAGAAACTTTAGTATTATAAAGAAAATACAAGAGAATTTCATAATAAAGAATAAAAAAATAATTTAAAGTTATGAATATAAATAGTTCAATATTTATGTCATCTAATTAAAATCTGAAATTTTATCCTATCTTAAATTTAGAGTCACGATTAAAATAATCACTTTATTTAAAAAAATAATCAATCTAACGAAAAAAAAGAAGAAAGAAAGTTATAACTCTGGAGTATTTAAAAAAAATGAAAAAGCATACTACTATAGTAAAATATAATTTAGGGTTAAAATAATAGAAAAGTGCATTTAGGTATAATGATTAGTGAGTGATGGAGTTGAATTTGAAACTTGAAATCGAAAATGTGGATTATGAAAAGATGAATTCCTTTCCAAGTTAAGGATGATATTGATAGGGCTTGGCCCCCACTTCTCCCGCTAATCCAAACCGTCCAAAGGGAGCCCAGGCCCACTCCATTCAACGGCCCAAAGTGGACCCTCTCTTTCTCTCTCTCTCTCTTTGCTCTATTAAATTCACGCACACCTTTTCCATTGCTATTTCTCTCTCTCTCTCTCTCTCTCTCTCTGCAACCTCACTCTTCTCCTCATTCTCTCACTTCTTGTACCGTGCCTATGCTCGCCATCGCCATTCACCATTCACCATTCACCATTCGCCATTCACCAAACAACAATGCTATAGCAGGTACGTTTTCTTCTCTTTGTTCTGTTTCCACTTTCAACTGTGAACCAAAACATTCCAATTAATTCTAGAACTCCTCTTTAGATCTTCCCCAATCCTCACTTCCGTTAAAGCAGCGTTTAGAAAATGAGATCTTTATGATTATGACACAGGAATAGGAATCTGCGTGCGTGACCCTTGCTTCACTTTTCAGACCACCCTCTTCACTTTTTTGACCATCGCTCCCCAAAGTTGCCATTAGTAACGCCTTTTACCTCAATCCAACATCTGATCTTCTATTACTTCCCCCTTATCATTATTTAATTATTCATTATTATTACTTAATAATTAAGTAATTATGCTCCACGTGGCATGTATTAATTCTATAATAGTTTCTGTAATCCTTGCCCATCAATTCGTTTCGACGGAGTGGAGTGGAGGATAGGTACATGTATGTAGGAGTCACACTCACACAGCAAAAAATATTTCTTTTATTTAAGTTTAAATATATATTTTTATTTTTTATTTTTTTAGTCTTAAAAATATTTTAGATAAAATTTACGGAATTATGGAATAAAAAAAGTATATACAGATATTAAAATTAAAATAAAAGATATAATTTATAAATTAAAATGGTATTTAAACATTTTATTTATTTATTTATTTTTAATTCAATTCATCGTCTTTTATTTATTTTTATTAAATATACTTGTCAATACCGCTATCCGTGCTTTTTGCTTTTATTGAAAGACGTACCAAATTTTAAAAGAAAGAATATGGAAGAAGTGTAACTAGCATTTCTGTTCATGTTAATAGCATAATGTGTTGTTTTTGAAAATTGGGAAGTTATTTCAAGCGTGACTTGGTACGTACCAAATTTAATGTTTAGGAACGGTGGGAGTGACATTGGTGGCCCATGGTGTCCTCACATCACATGCATTAATCTAAAAATATGATCATGTGTGGGTATGATATATCTGTTGAAAATTGGCTTAGAATAATAGTTTGGTGGCATTGTTGGTGAAGGAGTGTGAGATCGAGAGTTATTGAAGCCACAGTGAGTCAGTGACCTTTCTTTGGCTCAAGCCTTTGTCTGACACAGTGGAGTGGAGAGGCAAGAAATTGAAGGATATGTTGAATATGAGAAAGAGACTAGCATGCTGTTCAAGGGACTCCAAAATTAGCATCGATCTTGATGAGCAAGAGAGTAAGTTCATACTCTCAAACTCCCCATCTATCTGCAGTTTATTTATTATTAAATTTAAATTCATCAAGCTCAATAAGTATTTTTTTTTAAAAAAAAAAAGACTAAAACTAAGAAAATTAACTCCAACAATTATGGTTTTATCATCACATTATTTTTTCATAATTAATCCGTACTAGACTCTGACTCTTTGAGCATTATGAGCATTAGTAGTTTTCTTTATATTTTTCTTTGTTAAATCTAACTTAAAATCAGGGTCCTACCCGTAGGAATTTTAATACCGTTCATCTGATCTAAATATCTCAATCCTGAGATTTGGCATTTGAAATCTATACCTACTTTTCCTTGCTAATGGTACTGTTTACTGTACTACAGTGCATTACAATCAAAATTTCATTTACTAATGTGCTACAGAACATTACTAGGTTGGATAATGAAATTAATCAATAACCCCTTCGTTAGGGGCACATTATTCTTATCCAATACTTAGACTCACATAAATATTAAATAGCCATCTTAACTAACTTCGCTAATTTTTTTGCCACAACATACCAGCTGCGTGAACCTGGCTATTAGAAAACATAGCTGGCCCATTCCAAAAGATTAAAATTTATTTTTATTTGCAATTTTTTTGACAATTCGAATTTCTTGTTTCGACAAATGAATTATATGCCGACTTAAAAGTTTGGGGCTTGATGTGTGGGGTCTTTTATTGATTAGATCATTAGACTGTAAAAATTGCGTGAAACTACTTTACGTCAATCATCTCATAACGCTATTAACCAAATAAATAAATAAATAATCTCCTTAGTATTAGCATAATTTGCCATTGGATCTAAGTAAATGCTAGTGTTATAAAATTTTGACAAGAAACTTATAATTAATTGTACAATTGATTAATTTACATGTTATATATATATATGTATATTCATCAATTTTACAATTATATATATATATATATATATTAATTTACATGTTATATATAGATATATTAAAAATTAATGTGACTAACATACAATGAATTTTTGTAAAGGAAATTTCGTATCCTATTTCATCCTCTACTCCAACCGTGAACAGTAAAACTCATTTTCAGAGTAGGTGGTTATTTTCTGGTTTTTGTGTGGACTTGTGGTCTTGTGGACCAACGAAAAGCACTTCCACAATTTCAAAATTTGTATACTGATCAATTATTGCCACGTTCTTGCAAATGTTACAAGCTAAACGATAAACAGTGATCTTCACTTGCTCCATTTGAATTGTGAGCATCAATTATTTATTGTTAATCCAAAGATTTCTGTCAAGCTTAGCACATTGAGCTCTGAAAATCTCAATATTTTCCCACAATTTGTGAGATAAATAAGACTGTTATGTATACAAAACTTGACAAGTGGGGACCAACTGATATTCCTACAATGTTGAGCTTTCCCAGTCATTTTATTTTCTCCTTTACCTAAACAAGATGGTGGAATCCCACAAATTGTCTCGTTCCATTTTAGATGTGACATGGGTCTTGTTGTTTTAGTTTTGAGCTAGGAGGATGTAAGAATTAAGAATGGAAGGGGAATAATGTTAAGTTTTGGGGTTTGATAAGGTGACAGAAATTGTGGTGGTTAATATTTCTGAATCTGAATTCTTAAATCTGAAACTAAAGAACAACTTTGACCGACATTGGTTGATCCAGGGCCACAGGGAGTGTTGTTATTAATCGTAACTGCTAGCTGTGCCAGTGCCACTCTAGGTGCTGACAAATTGAAGTAAATGGTGCAGAGTGGGGATGCACCATTCATTGCCATACTTTGGTCCTCAAAACTAAAATATGTTTTTTTTCTTACTATTTAGATGGGATTCTTTTGTGGGGATTCTCTTCTCATTTTTGAGGCATTTTTGTCCTTAGCTTTTCTCTGGCTTTGATTCGATGTTCTGTCCCTTCATGGCCATAGCCTCCGAAGCTTTTCTGTTCGGTTCGAATCTTCGCCGTGCAAACTGTGGCTGATAATATTGAACACCCTTTTTCAGTTTTCACCCTTTTATCATCTCAATTTTCATGGTCAGTTGGGAAGTACAGATATAATACAAAATATTGACATGGTTATACATGGATACATGAATATAACGAATTTTTTAAATTAAAGGACCTGGTTATCTTCTGTACCTATATATAAATCTATATCTATATAGATATAAAATAGATACATTAATTTCTAGCATTTTACCTTTAATTTTTTTTAACGATTTTACTCTTTATAACTAATAAAAATGATATTAGAATTTATCATAACTACTATAATAAGTTAATTATTTCTAACTATTCAAATCCTCATTTTTAAACCATTTTCATTACTAAATCTCAATTTTTATTTATTTTTAGTTTTAAATAAAATATAGACATGAAATGTCTCAACTTCATTAATATATATAAATGAAATAAATTAACTAATTTTATTTATATTATGTCACGTGGATTAACTATTCATAGATTTATAATTGTTTTTTGTTTACACATTTTTATATCTTTTTATCCTCAAATCTTTAAATATTAAACAGTAATATTAGAAATTAATCAACCATATAATCATTTAAATAAGTGAATTATCTCTAACCATTCAAATTCTTAAACACTTTTATTATTGAATCTCAATTTTTATTCTATTTAAAAAAATTAAATAAAAATATAGAGACACTTGCAATGACACCATTACTAATTTATAAAATTAAGTGTTAAGGGTCTCCAAAAATATTCTGCTTCAATATCATTATTCTAATTAGTAAGTTCGAAACGTGCTTTATAAATTTTATTTAAATAAGAAATTATTTTATTTAAATAGAGTTTAGACACATATAATCATAAAAAAAATAGAAATGCAAGTAATTTAAAATTTTGGAATTAAAAAAAAAATGAAAATATCAACAAGAAAAATAGTGAAACTACTCCAAATTTTGCAGAGAGCGTGTAAAAGTTGAAACAAAATGTAAAAAAAGAGAAAACAAATAAAAAATGACCAATAGTAATGTTTCTATAAAAAATGAGTGGTGTGCGGTTGCTTAAAAAAAAGTAAAACTAATAAAATTTGTCATACTATTACTCAAAAAGAAATGTTGATCAGAAAAAATTAAGTATAAATTATAAAGAATAATGAGAGAACTTCGTATATTATATAAAGATAAAGAAGTAAAAAAAATTGACATCAAAACATGATATACTTTTATTAATGTTCTAAAAACAGGGTATACTTCTATTAATGTTATAGATAATTTATATAGAGAATGGATTAAAGTTACATGCAATAAATCCAATCATCATAAACATAAATTAGATACACAAAAATAATTTTTTTTAAAAGGGATAAGATTGAAGGCTGTACTAGCGCCTATTAAATTCACATCCATTTCCCATCGGACTAATTCAGTGTTTTTTTTTCCCCTTATGTGGTATATATTGCATTGAAAGCAAGGCTATGGCCAAAAGCTAAAATGAAAACGAAGAAAAAAAAGGTTCGCTGTTGACTATTAGTTTATCATTATTTATTTGTATGTTTATATTTTAAATTATTTAATTTTAAAATAAATAATATACAATTATATATATATATATATATATATATATAAAAACACGAATCTATCTATTACACGATAAAGTTTTTAGGGATTTTTTTTATGAGAGGATTTTTTGAAGTTTTTTTTAACTTTTTATCATTATATCAACTAGGAAGTAAACGATACCCGTGACAGAGATACCATTGAATGTCAATTATTCATTCTCCGTGATACTATTAATTCTTAACCATTAGCCATAGCCTTTTTTTGCTCGAATACCTAGAGTATTTATGCATTACATTTTTAGATATGTTGAGTGGAGCAAATAATTTATATTTCTCTTTCTGATGTAGCCTGTATTAGCATATCCGTATACATATGGGAAACTTTGAAAAAGCTACGTGCTTTTACTTTTGTATTTTTACTTAATTGAAGTCATGTACCAAAGTGATAATTTATATTAGGGTTTTAATTGTACATATGCTTTTTATTCATGTTACTTTTGGATGTTTGCCTGCACCGGTGATTTGTCTAACATCAGAGAGAATATATTCCTGCATCATTTTGAAAATGACATCCATGTTTCTCATGATTATTTGGTTACATGTAATATTGTTAAATTTAAGTATAGCACCTTTTGAAATTATATTTTGACAAATGTGCAATAATGGAAATTTTCTGGGATTATGACATATGATTATTTGGTTACATGTGATATTGTTAAATTTAACTATAACACCTTTTGAAATCATATTTTTATGAATGTACAATAATGGAATGTTTCAGGGATTATGACATATAATGGCCTTGAGAGTTGCATGCTAAACAACCAGTCTTACGAAGAGGAAAGTAGAACAAGTAGAGGAGATGAATGTATAACTGATTCATTTGATGACGACTACTCCAGCTGTTCCTCCAGCAAAGATGCTTTTGGATCATTCTCTTCAAAATGTTTGACAATGAAAAGGGATGATAAAGGAGTGGAAGAATGGGAACTCTCAGAAAGTCCTCAACGTTTTTGTGTCAAAGAGAAGCCTTATGCTATCCAACATTCAGATATAGAAGCCATGAAGGAAAAATTTTCAAAGCTTTTGCTAGGTGAAGATGTTACAGGAGGAACTAAGGGCCTCAATACAGCTTTGGCTCTATCTAATGCCATCACAAACCTAGCAGGTTTGCTCTGGCTCCATTCTACTATTATTTATGTCTTAGTTCCTTTAAAATTACATGCTGATGGTGATGTTTATCACAAAAAAAGGGATGGCTCGTAATGCTTCTATGTCACTCTTTTAAAGCTTATATACAATCATAGTATTTTACTTGCAAGAGTACATTGGTCGTTTCTTATTCATTATTCTCTTTTCTTTGGTTTTATTTTTAAGGGATCTAATCTAAGTCCTTAATGATCTTAATGCAGTGACAGTTTTTGGTGAGCTGTGGAAATTGGAACCACTATCTGAAGAAAGGAAGAGAAAATGGAAAAGAGAAATGGAATGGTTTTTGTCTCCTACCAACTATATGGTCGAGCTAGTTCCTTCTAAGCAAAGCAGTTCCAATGGTGGGATCTTTGAGGTATTTTTCATTTGAGCTATAAGATAGGAAAGGATGGACTATTTTAAACATCACATTGCAATAAAATAAGATAGTCATCTTCTTCTAACAGATAATGACCCCAAAAGCTCGTGCAGACATTCACGTGAATCTTCCAGCACTTCAGAAGTTGGACTCTATGCTCATTGTATGTCATTGTGAATTTGTGATCTCTTTATTCTCATATGCTTGGAACATTGTTTCAAGTTTCAACGGACTTACTAGGCTACTACATCATGACAGGAGGCACTAGATTCGATGGTGAAAACGGAGTTTTGGTATGCTGAGGGAGGAAGCTGGGCAGAAGGGAGGAACACAAATACACAGCATAGCAAAAGATGGTGGCTTCCATCACCCCAAGTACCAAAAAGTGGTCTTTCTGACACTGAAAGAAAGAGGCTGCTTCATCAGGGTAGGGTGGTACGTCAAGTATTCAAGGCTGCCAAATCTATCCATGAAAGTGTGTTGCTTGAAATGCCTGTGCCAGATATTATTAAAGCTGCATTTGCAAAGGTGAATTTAAACTATGTACATTTTATCTTGCTAGGGAAACTTCAATGTAGCTAAAGCATTTGATTGTTGACACTGAATATAAGCTTAAGTTTTGGAACTAGAAATTGCATCCTTTGATAACCTCACATGAGGAGCTTTTCATTCTTGGCTAAATAACTCTATAGAAATCATAATCAAAGGGTACATTTTGATGAAATAGATTGTGATCTTCATTGCATCATTACTAAATCTGTTTCTATGTTGCAGTCTGGAAAGGCAAATCTTGGTCAGGAACTTCACAAGGTTTTGACGGCTGAATCAAGCTCTGGAGATGATATGCTTAAATCTCTCAACTTGAAATCTGAACATATTGTCCTTGAGACTGTTAACAGACTGGAAGCTGCTATATTCTCATGGAAAGAGAGAATTGCAGAACACATTAATGGCAAATCCCCGGTTCGATCCTCATGGCCGTCTTTTGTAAAGGGTCCTATGTCAGAGGTTGATAAAATGGAGTTATTATTGGATCGAGCAGAAACACTTCTACAGCTTCTCAAAATCAGATACCCAAACCTTCCTCAAACATTTCTGGATGCTACCAAAGTTCAATATGGCAAGGTGAGTTTTATTGTAATGCATTTCATTGAATTTTATGACTGAGAAAAGTGGGAGATGTTTTTTCAGTCTCTTCTGATTTTTTCAAGATTTCAAGGGACAACTTTTTAGAAAACAAAATGCGCTCATGGGACTAACACTTTCAAATATGCCAAGAGGACAGACAAATTTTAGAAGATAGAAAACTGTTTTTGAAAAAGTTAGCAAACAAGGCCTAAATCTTTTTGTTTCATCTGCTTCATTTACCCCCAAAAGACTGAAAAAATCTTGTTATATTCAGTTTCAAACCAAAGAAAATGTGATTTGTTTCTGTTTCTGTAGGATATTGGGCATTCCATTTTGGAGGCATATTCAAGAGTTCTAGGAAATTTAGCATTCAGCATATTGTCTAGAATAGGAGATATATTGCAGGAGGATTATTTAAGCAACCCTAATTCACCTGTCCCAATAAATTGCTCTCCTGGCATAAATATCTCTGAGACTTGGGTAGTTGGTTCACATATCAGGCAGTCCTTACTTGATAAGATGAACAAGGCAGGTGGAAAATGCCGTGATTCTAGTTGTTATAGCACTTCTGATTTAGAACTTTCATCTATGGATGCCAAATCCAGCTCTGTAATTAGTAGAGTTTTCTACTAGTATGTCTCCTTAAAATTCCTCATATTGGCTTTTGTTTAGCCACATTTGTAAATGTTTAGCCCATAGTGGCTATTGATATTACTACATGACATGCTTAGTAAGAATAGAAGCAAACTGATAGGTTTGCCTTCCCATAAATTTTTGTTGGTTTTATAACTAACTTAACTATACACAATCATTGGTCATGTATTCTGGTTTTATATTGCGGGAGGTTTTGTAGTAAGGAATTAACAAACAATAGTGAATATAGTTTGATGTTACCACACGTTTTAAGAAGCTCAAACTGAGAAGCTACAATCGGAAGCTGCGGGGCAAACGAGAAAACTGACACATACCAAATGTTTTTCATACCTTAGTTTCCAAAATTACAAAATGAGTAATTGACTTGAGCTTCAGCATTTGATATGTTTCAACACAATATAACACCCGATGACGTAGAAGTAGAAGAAAAGAAACAACTCAAAGAAAACAAAGATTGAGGTTCTGGACAATGATAAATTGCTTATCAGAGCATGACATTGTAACTATGTTAAATCGTCTCCGTTAAAGGAGGCCATAAAAAATGAAAGTCATTAATTCAAATGATTTAAGACTTATGCTTTTTAAATAATGTTGGAATTTGATCCTCATTGTGATGTCGCGATTGTGGATATCATTTTATTCTTATATAGGTTAATATGATGGAAAAGAATTATACCTCTTTATTAGAATAAAAAAGATGATCAACAAAATTCTCTCAACACATACCAATCATTAATGGAGCAAGCATGTTTATAAAAAAAATCACAATAACAATAATTAATATAACGTTACTTAATTAAAAGAAGCATATAAAATTCTCCTCTGTCCCTTCAGCAGTAAATATAGAGAAAAAATTAAATTCATGATTACATTAATTAATGTAAGTTAAATTACAATACAAGAAAAAATTCTCCTTTTTACCCTTGACCTTAAACAGAAAAAATAGTATGTGTTACAATACAAGAAATTTAGTGATTTTATATTAAATTAACACACACACATATATATACACATATATATATATATATATGACAACAATGAAATAAAAAATTGTTTAAAGGTGTGAGTTTTACATGATATTGGCATTAGTTTTAAGGAAATTAATAAGAAATTGAATCAATAATAAGAATTTCATGTAATGGATGATTTTGTTGTTTTTATTTCAAAGTTTCATGAATTATTTATTTGAATATTGTTAAAGACATGGAAAAAGTTACGTCAAGAGCAAAGAAAAAATGTGAAATTTTGCAGACAGGAGCAGTGCCCCTGATGCCAATTAGAGCTACATTCGAAGCCAACACGAAACTAAATTTTCGAAGAAGTGACGCACAACACCACTTTAACCCCACGCATAATAAATTTTCTGCTCTTAGTATTAAATATATCATGAATTGTCAAAATTTAATATAAAACATGAGTTATTAAATAGAGTAAGTATAAATAATTTTATTATTGGCATAAACAGATCTATTCTTTTATATATATATGAAAGTGACTTTTGGATTGCTGAAAAATTTTATGTAGCATCTATTTTAATTTTATTGTGCACGTAATTATTTTATTATATTTAGTTATTAATTTTAATTTCATGACCAATTAATAGTTAATTGTTACAATATATAATTTTTCCCCTAATTGATACAAGACATATATAAACTAAGTAAAATTAGATACATGATAAAATAAGGTTTAATTTTTAATTTAATTTAAAAATAAATTACGCTTGAATCAATTATTTCTTTTCATTCTCATTCTTATATTTCATTTTACCCATGAAATTAATCTATGCGAGATACGAAACTCATTTTTACAAGATAAAGGGTTTGAGATATTGTTTAAGAGAAACGTCAATGAATAATGTTGGAGTAGTGAAAAGAAAAAAAATTTCCTAAATTTTTATTTGTTCATGAAACCCTCAACAAAGTCATGCTTTTCGATAAGAAAAATGATTATTATCCTTATATTTCCCATTTCTACTAGAGAAATTTCACAATTTATTAAACATAGTCGAAATATCCATATTCGATAATTTAGGGATTACAATTCTCAACCTAATTAAGGTTGACTAAGATAAAAAAGTTCAACTGTAAGAAAATCTTACAAAACTTAACAATAACTTTCCATTTTAATTAGACTCATGGTCAAAATATTTAAATATGATAAAATATCTGTTACTAATTGAAAAATACTAAAATCATGCATTATGATTCATATCAGGTGATTAAGAGAAAAATAGTCAATTATAAAAGAAAATAAGTTGTAACCTCACACATAACTACTGCTTGTTTAAGAAATTAATAGAGTTAGTAATTAAGCATATATAATGAAAGGACTAACTTACATAGTAAAATTAAAATTTACTAACCTAAATACCACAAATTTTTTTTCATGAATCTATTAATTATCTCTATCATCTTTTAAATATCAAATTGAGTGTTTATTTATATTTTTTATAGGAAAAATTAAAAAATCATAAATAAAAAATAAAGATAGGAAGTACAATAGGTCTACTAATTGGATGGAGTATTGCATACTTTTAAGTATAAGATATCTCTATATCTCTTAAGTCCATTTCGAGGTGACTTTTTGGATATATTTTTACACGTGTCAACTGCATAAGCATCTTGGCAAAATTTGCTTTCCAAATTTTTTTCCATTTTGGGACATCAGTTCTGAGCTGAACACAAAATGAATTGGGATAACTAATTTTAGATTTTAAAAACTTCTCGGTCAAAAAAAGAAAAGGTTAAAACCCTTATTTGGTCTCTTATAATATTTTTTTGTTTTAATTTAGTTCTACTTTAATTTTTTGTTTCAATTTGGTCCCCAATAATTTAAATTATTACAATTTGGGACTTTCCTCTAAATGATTTAAATAGAGTTAACTGTTGGTCACGTGGATGCTAGGTGGATGTCACGTAGATGCCACGTAGATGTGTAGGTGGATGCCAAATTTCTTGAATACACCTGGAACCAGAACGGCCCGTTCTGGTTGCACTCTGGGTTTTAGTTGCAAAATTAACACACCAATATTGTAAATCCAGAATGGCCCGTTCTTAAACTAGAACGGTCTGCTCTGGTTTCAGAACGGTCCGTTCTGATGCACTCATGGTGTGTTAAAGTTACATTTGGAACGTCTCGTTCCAGTTACAAAATTAACACATAACATGTGTACTCAGAACGGACCGTTCTGCTTTCAGAACAGACCGTTCTACTTTCAGAACGGGCCGTTCTTCTTTCAGAACGGGCCGTTCTAGTTCCAGGTGTATTCATGAAATTTGGCATCCCCTATGCATCTACGTGGCATCCACCTGACATCCACGTGACTAACAGTTAACTCCGTTTAAATCATTTGGACGGAAGTCCCAAATTACAATAATTTAAATTATTGGGGACCAAATTGAAACCCAAAATTAAAATAGAACTAAATTAAAATAAAAAAAATATTATAAGGGACCAAACAAGAGTTTTAACAAAAAGAAAACGTGAAGTTGCCCAACACCTGAACCCAATATACCATGTTTGGAAAGCAAAAATATATGTAAACATTATACATGAACTTTCTTTACATGCCATTGGTCCAACATGTATGTTTAGAATTTTTTATTTATTTTTGAATCTGTTATATTTAATTCAAATTTACATTTCTGAATTTTGAATTGTGAGATCACAGGTGATCGAAGTTTGAGAACTCATCCACGCTTGCAGAGTCTGGTGTTAGTTGTTTTGAACTATTTTATGCAATCTATCTAATTGTGCACCTTTAAATGAAGCTACATATCCTGCAATCCTGAAACTTTGGGGGCAAATGCTATTGAGCTTCGTATGCCATCCCCCATAAAAATTGAGTAGGGAAATAAAGACAACAGAGGATGGAGAAACATGAATAGTGCAATCAATGAAATTTGTTGCATCTCTTAGTTGTTGGAATGAGAATACTACAAGCTCTAGCTTTGCTGGTTTCAATTCAATATAATTCAATATAGATTACTGTTAACATGTGTATTCTAATAATTAATATATTAAATCATGACCAAGTGTGATTAAATAGAATAGGTTATAGTTCACACGTGTATTTTAATAATCAATGCATTAATTCATGAACTTCTCAAAAGGTACATAACAATAATAAGTGTACACAAATCAACAGTTTCAAGACTTGAATATAAAAAAAAATAAAAAATAAAGAATATAACAAGAAAGTAAGTAATAAATATTTTTAAAAACTAAAATATTTATTATTTTTTTAAGTCCCGTGAAAAACCTTAAACGACTATGGAAAAAAACGAGGAAAGGTTTATATTGCATTTTAAGCTTTCAAAGGGACTATCAAAACTACTGATTTTAATTTAATCCTATTGTCCATCCATCATCCATTCATTGCTGATTGCTATTGATGAAAAAAGTTGGTACTTGTCTATTTTAACATCAAGCTCAGCTATATATGTCCCTACCAAGTGACGACTAAACTGATTTTAATTTAATCCTATTGATGAAAGTTGGTACCTGTCTAATCTGGAACACCAGGTTTTTTTTTTAATGCTATGTGAACAAACTCACCTTGCTACACCATGTATCAATTCCAAACTTTGACACTAGAGGAAGTGGGAACAAAGAAGATTAAAGGTGTATTTACTTTAAAATAAATATAAACCCTGAATCTATCAACATTAATGTATATGCATGCGATAACTTGAGAATTACAAGCACCAATTATAGAGAAAAGCAACCAGAATTTTACACAATATGATCATGATCATACTTTTATAGATAACGGAAAAAAATTTGTACGTGGAAAAAGTCTAGAATGGTTAGCATTGTTATTGTCAATTTTTTTCATCAAGAATTATTCCAATGAATATTGTTTATCTTGATCCTTAGTTTTCCATTAATAGTTGGGTAGTTAAATGCACTTATGCACTGGAATGTCACCACCGACAATACTTTAAAAACAATGGGGACATTCTGAATACAAAACGTGATTTACATATCAATATGTCAACTACTCTCCAAGACTTTTATTTTGTAAAGGACAAAATTTTACTAAATTGGTTAGTTGGTGAGAGTGGTGACAAATGGAACAACAATTCTGCAAAGTGCAAACATAAGATGCAGTTACTTATCAAGAAGAAGATAAATCAAATGGTTACAAATTTACAATTACCATTACAAATCTAAATACAGAGCTGTTTTATGTAAATAACATAGGGATGAGTTGCGAAAAATATTTTGTCACACTTACTTTCTCTCTCAAACGGACATAGAATATATAATGTGTATGCACTTGTTTATTTATTTATTTTTTAATGATATTATCAATATAAAATATTCACTAATTTTATCATTAACTAATTTTTGTTCAAAATTTAATTGATTGTTTTTAATTGAGTATCCTTTTCAAACTACAAGATCTTATTTAAAAAATTGAATCTAGTTTTGCAATTACTAATATGATCTATGCACTTTGTGTTTATACTTGTATATTAATTTCATATGGAAGTTTTTATTTCACCATATTTCACTTCTCATAAACCTAACAGAGAAATCCATGCTATTTAAGCCCTTAATATTAAAAGACAAGTTTATGGATCTGTAAAATAAAATAAAATAAAATTTTTGCATGGTGAATATGAATTTAGCTTGAAAGCATTTTGATTCCCTCCATTAAAATTTGGAAAATCATAAAAAATAAAAGAAAAGAAGTACAACAAGTCTATCATCACTTAATTAAATGGAGTATTACATTCATTAAAGCACACCATATATAAACATCTATTTCTGAAATAGTCTCAGCTCTTAGCATTTGATCTCAGCTTTGATTAGTCCAGTGTATTCACCTGAAATAAGAGAAGAAGCAGTTACCTTATTAGTTTTGGAATTTTGAAAATACATAATAAAATGAAATTGTAACAACATAAGCAACTAATCAAGAGACGTAGCAGCATATGAAATTAAACATCTATAAATCTCAATTGTCTTATATTTATGTTTTTACTCCTTTAAATTTGGAGTAACTATTTTTTAGTTTTCTAGATTTAGAACTCATGATTTTACTTATTGTAATTTAAAAAATATTATTTTAATTTCTATATATATATTTTAAAACTTTTTCAAATTTAGAAAACAAGTTTTTAATCTCCAGAATATAAAATTATTATTTTAGTCTCTCAAATTTAAAATATTTTTTTAGTCTTATAATTTCAAAAAACAAATGTTATAGTTCCTGATCATTATTAACATAATTAACAATAATATATTAAGACAATTATACAATATTACTTGATTTAATAATATAAATTGACAGTAATATTTTTATCGACAATAATACTAATAAAAAAATTCTGTTCGACAAGTTTATTAATAACATTTGAATAAAGAAACTAAAATAATATATATATTCAATATTTTAAGGATTAAAAATACATGTCAAAATAATAATTTTTAAAATTTTAAGAACTAAAAACACAAATTATAAGTTTTAGAAACCAAAAAAATATATAGCGAAAATTTAGAAGACTAAAAACATAATCATAATTTTATTATATTGTTGTTTGAAAATGAAAACTAATGTATGAAATAATCCAAAACATATTAAAAAAAATTATTAATAATTATAAATGAAATAAAGTTTGGCATAAAAGGCAGTGAATACACTTACATTTCTTCTTTTATAACATGCTAAGAATCGAGTCATTTTCCATTTACCTTATCGGCAAGAAAAGCATTTCTGATTTTGTTGAGTTCCTTGCCAACATCTGTCATATTCATTCTTTCTTTTGCTGATTCTACTGAACAAGCAAGTCCAATATTAAATAGTGAACGTAAGCATTGTTCAACGGTTGGAGTAAGATTTTGACTATTTTCTATTTCTGTCGGGACAAGTGTTGGGTCCAAAATCTGTAAAAGATTATCAGGAAATGATTTTTCCACAAAGTTATGCAAATTTTTATCATCTCCAAAAATTTCATCTGTGGGTTTTCTTCCAGTAAACATTTCCAACACAAGAATTCCGAAACTGTACAAGTCACCATTCACAGACACTGCAGAACCCATTCCATACTCTGAAATATATATAAAAAAATTGTCAATACACTACTATATTTTAATTCTTTAGCAATATTTTCTTATTTATATTTATTAAAATATTATTATATATTAAATAAATAGGTTATTTTGCAACACTCTTTAAAAAAATGTCATTATAGATAGAGTAACATTTTTTTTATTTCAATATTATTATTTCTAATTGTTTTCAAAATCAAAATCCCATATCGAATAAAAAAATTTCACATAAGTTATTTTGCAACATTTTTTTGAAAAATGTTACTATAATTGCTTCTAAAATCAAAGTTCCACATCGAGTAAAAAAAAATATTTATCTTATATCTAATTGTTACTCATAATTAAAGTCTCACATTAAATAGATTAATGACTCATAAAGAGTATATATAACCATATAGTTATACTTTAGATAAATAAAATTTGATATTTTATATATAATTAGTGGTAACTAATTAAGAATTAAGAATGTGTTCTCCTAAAAAATAATTAAGAATGTCTTTAACCTTCTCTCCTAGAATTCTTAGGAGTTTAAGAGACATAAAACTATATCTAAATTAAAATTAATTATCATTTTATAAAATTAACAAAATATTGGCAACATCATTAAAATGTTACAAAAATATTACTTTGATAACATTTGAAAAATGTTGTCTAATTATATAAAAATGTTATTAAAAGCTTTTATGTTACTAAAACAAATTAGTAACATTTATACATAATTAAGTAATATTTTTCAAATGTTGCTAAAAATTATTTGTGTTATAGTGATACTTTGCAATTAGTAAATATCAAGCTTCAATAAAAGAAAGATAAATTCAAAGAAACACTTATTCAAGAGTTTAGAACATACCCGGAGGAGCATAACCAACGGTCCCCTTTACTCCAATTGTACTTGTTTGCTTAAAAGTAGAACCATTGATTGTTGAGAGAAGTCTTGCTATGCCAAAATCACTCACATGAGCAATCATGTCATCATCAAGTAGAACATTGCTTGGCTTTAAATCACAATGAATGATTGATTGCTCACATTCATGATGCAAATAATGTAATGCAGAAGCAACATCAATCACGATGTTTAATCTTTGAAGAAGATTCAAGGTTATAGGATGCTTTGCATTTACTGTCATAGGATGCAACCATTTCTCTAAGCTTCCATTGCTCATGTACTCAAAAATTAGAGCTTTAAATTCTTGACCTTTGTAATCTGTGCTGGAACAACATGTCAAAATTTGTACTAGATTTCGATGTTTAATATTTTTAAGTGCATTGCATTCAGCAATGAAACTCTTGTGTGCTCCTTTTTTTTGAAGGTTTAGGACCTTTATGGCAACAATTTTGTCTTCAAACTCAAGAGTTGCTCTGTAGACAAAACTAAAATTCCCAGATCCTATCAAGTTTGCATTTGAGAATCCATCAGTTGCATTATGTAGGCTTTGGTATGAAACTTTAGCCAATTGGTCAATTGTTGGTGAATCCAAAGATGGTTCCTTACTCCGTTTCCTCATCCAGTAGATAGTTAGAATAATTGATATTATGAGAAGACACGCAATCACACTAACTATCACTGCTATCAATCTTAACTTGTGATGTTTTGCAAGTTTTTTACCTTTGACAAGGCAAGGCGGTAGATGCAGTTCTGAAACACCTCCACAAAGCTTACTATTTCCAGTCACCACTAACCCTCTTGCATTTCGAAAGACACCTTCCGTTGGCACCTCACCATCCAACATGTTAAAAGCTACATTGAAATATTGTAAGAAAGAAAGATTTTGCAAAACATTAGGAATTGATCCAGACAAGCGATTTAGTGACAGGTCTAAATATTGAAGACCTTTGAGTGATGAAAAGGAGGATGGTATGATTCCTTGTAAAAAATTCCCTTGCAAAGAAAGGTTCTCCAACATAATGCATTCTCCAATAGTTCCAGGAATGTGACCGGACAAAAGATTTTCAGACAAATCTATAAAACCAATATTTTTTAGGTTGCCCACTTCTTCCGGTATACTACCACTCAATGAGTTTTGTGACAAAGACAACAAGTTTGTTAAAGAGAAAATTTTAAAAATCTCCAAGGGTATGGTTCCTGTAAGGTTGTTATTGGCAAGATTTAAGCTTTGCAACTTTTGGCACATTCCTATACTTGGAGGAATATTTCCTTCTAACATATTTTCTCCCAAATCCAGATAAAACAATTGGCTGAGGTTCCCCACAAAGGCTCCAATCTCTCCTAACAGCTTGTTTCCACTTAAGCGTAAGCGTTGCATCTTTTGAAACTTCCTAAAAGTTGTTGGGATATTCCCATCAATATTGTTATCTTCCATTGTCAAAAGAGTTAAGCTAATTAAATTTCCTAATGTAGCAGGGATTTCTCCCAATATATGGTTACCTCCTAGAAATAGTTGACTAAGTTGGGTAGATAAATTGCCCAATGAATTTGGCAAATAACCCCCAAAATTATTGTAGGATATAGATAATAGTTGCAACTTACTACAGTTTGTCAATGATTTTAAAAACTCCAAATCATTACTTGAATTGTTACCTAGATTGTTCCAAGACAGAGATATGATATCAAGATATTGTAGCTTCCCTAAGCTCGGAATTTGTCCCATGAGATTGTTTCGACTAGCTTCAAGTGCTAAAAAGAACATAGATGCATTTGTGATGGAGGGTGGGATTGGACCAGAAATTTGATTTTCACCGATATAAAGTTCTTGGAGATTAGGGAGGGTATGGAACATGTTGGGTGGAAGAGAACCATTAAATCGGTTTGTTGTAGCTGAGATCATAGTGAGAGATGACATATTATAAAGACAAGAAGGAATTGTACCAGTTAACTTGTTCTGAGAAAATGATAAAAATGTCAAGGTTTTGAGACGACATGTTTCTTGTGGAATATCCCCTTCTAAGTTGTTTCCACCTATTGAGAGAAAAGTTAGGGATGAGAGATTACCAATGCAGGATGGGATTCTTCCTCTTAACTGGTTTTTAGCAACAGTCAAAACTTGAAGCTTCCGAAATAACGAGCCAATTTCAATCGGTATTTTTCCAACCAAATTGTTCTGCCTCAAGTTTAAGGTTTTGAGTTCAGTACAACCAGTCAAGTTTGTAGGAATGTTTCCTGCCAATGAGTTATTTCTGAGATTGAGTTGTTGCAGATGTGACAACCGTCCCAATTCTTGTGGGATTTTGCCGTAGATATTGTTGTCTGCGAGGCTGAAGTTTCTCATATAAGAGAGATTGCCTATGTGAGGTGATATGAATCCCTTCAAATTGTATCCATCCAAGTTCAATTCTATAACTCTTTGAAGCATGGTATTACATGTGATTCCATGCCAGTTACAAAAATGATTGGAAGTATTCCACGAGAGAAAGATTCCATATGGGTCGGTGGATATGGATTCCTTGAATTTGAGTAGTACCAAATGATCACTCTCATTTCCTGATGGCAAGACAGTTATGATTGGGCCAAGCCATAGAGAATTTATAATAAAAAGAGAAAACAAGTGCGCATATATAGACCAAAACGCAGGTAACATGGGCAAAAAATGTTTCATTTTGATGAGGAATTTGAGACTAGTAGATGGTAGTATTTCTGTTGTATAGCTTTATATTGAGTTTGAGAATTGGATACAAGGGATCAGAAAAGAAGTGCATGTGGTTCAGATCAACTCAATAGCCAAGTGATAATTGCTGATAATTAATCCATGTGGCAAGAAAATAAATTCAACAAATATAGTAGGGGACCTGGTTTCTGTGAATTTTTTTCAAAAGCATTATCAAAAAATTAAAGAAGAACCCAAACACGCATTTAAGTTATATAGATATCTATAACCATCGCATTAATATTTATAGAAAATGATTGGTAAGCGAAATTAATTTCATTTATCTATTACTGTAAACAAAAATTGATCCATAATATATGCTTTAAATTAATACTAAAGTAAAATTAGACAAAATATCAAATCCAATTAACCTTTTATATATATTTTCATCCTCTTACAAAAATAAAAGGGAGGAGATGCAAAATACATTTTTGAATGTATAATTTTTAACCTCTAAAATATCAAATCAATTATAATGATCCGTGATTATGATTATAAATTTTTAACCTCTTATATGTTTGTACTATGAAAATTACAACTATAAAATTTCTATCAGATTCTCATGTAAAGATGGATTGAGTATGCCTTAATTCTTTTAAAGAAAAAGAATTAAAAAAGAAAAGAGTGATGCAATAAGAAAACAAAATAAAAATAAAAAAAGAAAAGAAAAGATTTTGAAATATACTTGACAAAACAGATGAAAACATAAGTCTCGTTGGAATTTTAAGTATTCATTGATTTTCAATAACATTTGATTTTACAGAAAACAAATATTTATATATCAATTGTAACAAATCATAAAAAAAAATTAATTTCATAGTAAAAAAAATATTATTTCGTTAATTTATAGAATAAGTTATCAAATTTCAAAATTATATGAGTGAAATTAAAAATTGCTTCCTTTGATAACCTCACATGAGAAACTTTTCATTCTTGGCTTAAGAACTTTATAAAAATCATAATCAAAGTTACCTCACATGATAAAATACTTGTACGAATTACATATGTCTATCTTTTAAATATATTAATTTACTATTCATTGTGGATTTTATGTGCATATTTCCACACGTGCACTAGTTAAAATTATCCATTTTCTGACTGTAGATTCTATCCACGTATATTCGTGGCTTTTTTTTTCCTTGGTCACGATTTTTTCTTCATTTATTAATTACTTATCTCTCATTTCCATTTTTTAACCATGTCTCCTTTTTTTAACTCACAATTCTCTTACAAAAATATTACATTTTGTTTGTTCTAACAAATGAAAGTAAAATATGTGACCTCTAAAATCTGAGCTTTGAAGTACAAATTCATGTTTCAGTAAAGTAAAAAATAAAAAAAAAAATTACAATTTCATGTTAGAGATCGAAGACAAGTAATATATGTGAGAGGAATGTTGGAGAATAAGTTTCACTTTAGAGAGTTCATAACAAATATAAATAAGAAAGTAATTATGAGTATAAAATTTTACGAAAACTTTTGAAAAATAAGTCACTCAAACTAAAAGTATATTATCTCACACTCATTCTCTTAGACGATTTGAACGGGACTTCTACACACAAATTTCACGTGTTTGTCTAAATTTAATTTGATGATTTTATATTAAATTTTTATTTTAAAAATATTTTAAATAAAAATTATCAAGCATAAGTTTATGTATTTCAAATTTATTTTAATTAAAAAATTTATAAAATCAAAATCATGTAAATTAAAATGAAAATTTATTTAATTTAAACAGAAACGTGGTTGACAAATTTTATTTCATTGCCACCTACTAAAGTTGGTAACTATCCATCTTAGTGAAGACTTGACAAATTTAATAAATTCCACTAAGTGAAGAAAAATTGTATACATAGTGAAGACTTAACGATTTTTAATTTATTGTCTTTGACAAGTTTCTATCAAGTGAAGACTTATTCTGAAAAAAAATAAATAATAATAATGATAAAAAAGTGAAGACTTAAAAAGATTTAATATGTTCCCACCAAGTTAAGACATATTCTGTAACTCTCTTGACTTTTCAGTGAGATATAGGGGGTTTTGGCTTTCGTTTTTATATATATTTTTTAATTTTCTAAAATCTAGAATTGTTTTTATATATTTGTTTTGAATTTCTAAAATCTAGAATCGTTTTTATATATATTTTTTAATTTTTAAAATCTAGAATTAATTTTTAGTCTCTGGTATTATAAAATTATTTTTAATTATTTATTTATTCATTAAAAAATTAAATAATTATCTATTATGTATAGACAAGAACAGACCTACCTTGTCGTTCTCTAACCTTTACATAGTTTTAATAATTAGAAGAATCGTTTATATTTAAAGATTTGTAATAAAAATTGTTTATATTTGGGAGTTCAGCTTTTGAGAGAAAAATATTTAAGTTTTATTTTTTTTCTACATTTTACATTTTTTTTATATAGGGATACAATTGAACCTCATAGAAGTGAAGTAAGATACATATACTTCTCTTATCTATTAAAAATTTGTCTTGTATTCGCCTTATATCCACATGAGTATTTGTTAAACGAATACATGTGAATTTTATAAATATTCGTTAATATTCATTGATATCTATTTTATGATTTTTTTTAAAAATTAAAAAAATTATAAATAATTTTAAATTTTTTGAAATATCAAAAATAAACAATTGATATTTTTGAATTTGCAATTAATGATAACTTTTTTAAAATATTAAAAATAATATAAAAAATATAAAAAAAATATGAATATTTAAATAATATTATTTAGTGAATATCCGCAATTCATAAGAAAAAAATTCATACTCATTATTCACAAATATTTATTTAAATTACTCATTTATTATTTATAACAAATTTTATGCATGGATATTCATAAATACAGATAATTTTGTCACCTTCATTTTTATAACATTTACGATGAAAATAATGACATATGATTATATTTCTGATTCATTGACGTTATTCTTAAATTATTTTAAAAATACATAATTATAAACATTTTACATAAAATTTAATAATTATATTTTATAAGTTTATTCATAAATTTTAATTTTGAAAATTCCCTCCCACCCCAAGGTTATCTTCCTGCCCATCGTTAGTTATACACAATTATTAGTAATACTATATTAATATATAATATTTTTAAAAATAAATTTAGGTCATTAAAATAAAAATTATTTATTTATTTTAAAATAAGATCAAAATATTTTAAAGGAAACAAAATTAAAATTTACTCTATTTATAATAATTAAAATATAAGTCGGTTGTATTTTACTGAGGCCAATTTAATATGTCTCTATTAAATGAAATCTTTTGCTATTTACACTCTTCTTATTTTTTTAAGTACATCCCCTTTTTTATTAGTGAAAAAGATAAAATAAAAATAAAAGATAAAAAAAATTATGACACTAGAGAAAAAACAGTAAAAAGGTAATAATGGTTGGTTTTTCAAAAGAATGAATGAGTATATAAAAAGTGAAATTAAAGGTAAAAATGTCTATAAGAAAATAAAGATTAAATGAAGTTGTTAAACTCATTTCTTTCTTCTCAAAATCTTTTGACTCAAAAATCACATTATGCAAAATAAAACAAAACATCAAAAAATTGATTTTAAAATATAAAAATATTGTTTCACTTGTCAAAATATGTGAGAGGAAATAATTTAAAAATATAGTGAGAAAAAAAAAAACTATCTTGTATCTATATATTAACTCTCTCAATTTCTTGAATATACTTATATGCATAGTTTTAAAAATCGGACCGGTCATTAAACCGGTTAAGGTACTGGGTCAGTGGGTCAAAGGTTGAACCAATGGTCACTAGTTGAACTGCATGACTCAATTATTATTATTTTTTAAAAAAATATTCATGTTAAATATATTTTATACTTATAAATTTTAATAAATTCATATCTTATTTTAAATTTCAATTTTTTTATCTTATTTAAAATTATTTTTATTTTTATTTTGCAAAAAAATACATAAAAAAGTTACATGTTAAACTGTATATTAATACAAATTTAAAATATAAATAATATGTACATATATAATATGCTTGCAATTGATATCACAAAATAATATATGTAATATTTACATAGATATTATATTATTAAATATATAATTTAAAATTAATAATATACTATAAAAGTTATTTAAGTTGTATATATTACAAACAAATACATTAGAACAAGTAGTCATTGTTGTATTTAATAAGACTCTTTCTCTTCTATTAAGAGATTCAATTTTCATTATTATTTTTGTGGTTTATGGTCTCTTAAAAAAAAGTGTGGTTAAACCAATTTGACCCACCGATTTACCGGTTGAACCAGAAAATTGTCCGGTTCAATCCGGTTTGAAATGGATTGACTGTATAACTGATCCAATTTAAGATACGGACCAGCTGACCACCGATTTCCGGTCCAACCGGTCTGACCGGCCGGTTCGATCTGATTTTTAAAATACTGCTTATATGTTTGTACTATCAAAAATCACAACTATAAAGTCTCTATCAAATTCTCATGTAAAGATGGATTGGGTATGCCTTAATTCTTTTAAGGAAAAAGAATTAAAAAGAAAAGAGCGATGTGATAAGAAAAAAAAAAGATTTTGAAACAAACTTATTTTGACAAAACAGATGAAAATATAAGTCTTGTAGGAACTTTAAGTATTCATTAATTTTCAATCACATTTAATTTTACAGAAAATAAATATTTATATATCAATTATAACAAATCATAAAAAAAAATATTTCATAGTAAAAAAATATTATTTCGTTAATTTATAAAAGAAGTTATCAAATCCCAAAATTATATGAGTGAAATTAAAAATTAAACTTTTCATTCTTGGCTTAAGAACTTTATAGAAATCATAATCAAAGGTTACCTCACATGATAAAATACTTGTACGAATTACATATGTCTATCCTTTAAATATATTAATTTAGTATTTGTTGTGGATTTTATGTGCACTAGTTAAAATTATCGATTTTCTGACAGCAGATTTTATCCACGTTTATTCGTGGCTTTTGTTTTTTTTTTTTTTTTTTTTTTTTTTTTCTGAAAGTAATAATGTTGGTTTTTCGA